TGCACTTTAATCACTTTGCTTCAATGCAAAGTGATTTCCAGCTGATAGCGTTTTCAGTGAAAAACATGTTTTGCTTTAGCCACGTCTCCATAGTTACAGCGTAACCATGTTAACGACAGGTCGTTGACAAGTGCGCTGGGTCCGTGGGTCAAACTAACTTGGTGGGGGGTCCGTTTTATTTTAAAGGATATTGAAACTAAATACTGAATATAAAATGCAGTGCATGAACACACATTTATATTCTATCAAACTTTTTACAGAATAATTTCTCCCAAGACTTATTGTGAGGAGCCTACTAAAATATATTTTGAAAAGCTTCACGTACCCCCTGCAGTACCTCCACGTACCCCCAGGGGTACGCGTACCCCCATTTGAGAATCACTGATTTAGAGCATTGGGCTTGGGTCCTGGAGGCTCTGAGTTCAAGCCCCACACACTCCCACAGGCTGCCACTCTGGGTCCCTGAGCAAGACCCTAAACCCCAGGCTGCTCCCCGGGTGCCGCACAGAGGCAGCCCACCGCTCCCCAAGGGGAAGGGTTAAATGCAGAGAGTGAATTTCCTCATTGTGGGACAATAAAGGGATTTAGATTTTACATTTAAGTCTTTTTTCTCAGATGTCCCAGTTCAAACTACCATACGAATATCAGTGTTGATGGTTTGATTCCTGTGAAGGAAATTATTCACCCTGGATGTTTAAGAGCAACATTTTTTCAGGAGACTCTTCACTGGACTTGTGTACCAGATTTTAATCCTTGTGAGAAACTTTCCCTGAATCAGAATCTGAGTAAAACGTTCAATAACTGAAACCAGCTTATTTCCATCATGCTGGAAATATGCTGGTTTTACTGCTGAAGCTTTGCCATAAGAATCCAAAGCGGTTTAATAAAAGACAAGCTCACAATCACCGCTCTCATAGAGACCTTTAATATGACGGGGATTTGATTCATTTTAGCATTTGGATTAATTCACTTTTAAGAAAACAAACTTCCTGTTCAAATTAAGCATTTGAACTAAAGTTGAGTGTTTCTAATCAAAGCGATGATTCGTCTGACTTTGATTTTCTACACTGATGCAGACGGGATGATTAAATGTCTTAATCTGAATAGAGTTACAGACCTTTGCTGTAGTTGAAGTTGATACTGCGACCCAGGGGGGGTTTGGGCAGAGACAGGGGGGTCTCCTCAGTGGGCAGATCCAGGAAGTTGTACTCCACAAACAGCCGTACCACGCTGTCGTCCCGCGCCAGCCGGGACCGCGGCGCCAGGCTCAGAGAGACCACCTCCACCCGGACTCGCTCAGAAAGCTGCAGACCAGGACATCTTTAATCAGCCTTTCACTGATTCAGAGGCAGGATAGAAACAAGTCAGTAAACTATCGTCGTCTTCTTCTTTATCCAACCGGACAGCGGGAGAGGGGAGTCCCTGCAGAGACTGCTGCCCCGCAACCCGGTCACTACACTAATGTAGTCTAGACATAGGAAGGACCCAGAGACAGCTTTAGTCTGGGTGGTTTACTTACCACAAACAGAAAATTAAATATATGCACAATTAAAACTGATCATACCTCACATATTTTATTTGAAAGTTTCAACATCTGCTTCTTGAATTGAGGGGAGAGACCCTCAGACACCTTTGGCTTAAACCCTGTGAGGCGTTCGCTGACCTTTCTCCCTGAGGCCTGTCCCTGAACGATGCAGTCGTCGCTGTCGGACTGTGTGGACTCTCTCTGAGGGCCCGCAGATGCTGGACCTTCCTCCACATCTGGAACAACAGAGTTAAAACAACATGATGTTATGTAAAATAAAACTAGGTCAGTATGACGCTTTAGATGAATATCCAACTAAAGCAGAGGTTTTCCTTAGTGACCCTGTTTGATTTAAAGACAGTTTCACACACCGCTCTCAAATAAAGCCTTTTTTCTTTAAGTTAAAGGAAAGTCACAGCAGTGAAGAACAATGGGATACGATTAAATAAATCTTCCTTTAAATTGCAAAGATACCACTTCTAAAGTGTAACTATTTACATGTTTATAAGTTATTTTACAGAAATCAACATTACCATGAATGGTGTGCTTTTATCTTACTTTTAAAAATTGGTAATTTATTCAGTTCATAGCTGCATGAGCCCTGCAATAACATTGAGCCCCCAATAGGGGGCTGTGCCCCCCACTTTAGGACCCAGTGATTTAAAGTAACCAACTAGCTTTAAAGGAATAGTACACCCAAAACATGATAGCCTTCATTTTCTACTCACCCCCATGCTGAACAACACTCTGGAGTACTTTTTTGATATCTCAAATGCATCTGGAGATCTGGGAGGCTTCTTGC